GACTTACAAGTCAAAAATGAGGGTAATAAATATGCCAGAAACCGTAACAAAGAAAACCGTAAGAAAAGGCTTACCATGGCAGACAGGAGGTCGGTCGTCCAGTGGTGGGTGATACGGCTTCCGATCCGCCCGACCCACCGCCCTTCTCATCACTTGACGGCCAGGATGCCTCTGAAGACGGACCGGTCACTTCTGAAAAATGAGTTCAAATATTTTAGGAGAGGAACCAGGCATTGATGAAAGGCGACCAAGCGCACACCAGACAAATCGACGAGCGATGAGCTTCTTCTGCCCCTCGGAGTTCGCCGGGTGCCGGGCGTCGGCGGCAAGGACATCTACAAAAATTGGATTTTGACAGCGCGCTCTCGCGATAGAATATCACGAATTAATAGGAAGCTTTGAAGGTGTGGCAAGCAATCTAATATTCTGTACGGAAAATTGTGTAATTTTGAACTTTAAGAAAACTGGAGAAAAATATAATTGGAGGCCACCCAAAAACAAAATCTTTCTACCTTGCCCATCCCTTTAAAATGAAGGTATGAGCGAACGCAGAAAGCAAAAAAATGACCGTCGCCTATCAAGCACCACGGTATCAACCGAGCCCTAAGAAGCCGAGTCATCCATCCGGGATACTATGGTATGAATCGCGCATGAAATGGGCGGTGACACATCATGGAGCGTTTGCACGCTGCGCTTTTTGCGGGTTGATAAGGTGGAGCACGACGAATGTAGGAAAAGAGACTTTTGTCTTGAATTTTGCAAAAATTGGTTTAAAAAGGATTTTAATCTTTAAAAAAATGGGAGTTTTTGGGAGCATTCCGATCAGTTTTCTCGTCTGAAGCCGTAAAAATCTTCTTAAAAATAGCTCAAAGAAGCGATTTTAAAATGCGCTTTTCCCGGACTGAAAAGGTGGAACGAGACCGATGGCGAGAAATAGACTATGTAAAAAAACCTTGAAAACAAAGCCGAAACTGAGAAAAATACAGCTAAAAAAAGCTTGTTTCAAAACATTGTGAGGGGCAATAGAGTTCCGATTGTGTTTTTTGTTATCTCCCCCTCTCTATCTCACTCTCTCTCTCTCTTTATGTCTCTCGATCGCTCTCTCTATCTTTATCTCTCGCTCACTCTCTCACTAGATTCTCTTTCAATTTTAAGGCCTAAAGGCAGAAATTACATAAAAATTGCTGGCCCCTAAACCTTCAATTGTAAAGGTTTTTTTGCAAATGTTAATTTGCACCGAAACCAACATTGGGCAGGCTAGCAGAGATCATTGCGGAACTCTGGAAGGCCATAAATTATCCAAAAATCGGAATGGCCTGAGAAAAGGAGGCTGTCTGCTGGTCGGTGGCCCCCATAATTATCTGGTTACCGGGGCGCCGATTTCGGAGGGGGGGGTGGGCATTTTTTGTAGCCGTTTCCTCGATGGGCCACACCATCTGATAGCCTTTATGGCCTTTTGGAATGATAGCCCGGAATGGGGTAGGTGAATTGGCTACAGATTTTCCTAAATTTTTGCTACGGATTTGGCGCGCGTCCGCCTACGCGACTGACCTCCTCGGCGAGCCGGATCTGTTCCATTATCAGGGAGAGGGTGCAAACTGAATTTTTTTGGATAGTTAGAAATGCCGAGCAACGTAGTAGTAAGGATATAGCGTTTTTAGAAAATTTAACTATATTTCAAGTGGAAAACTATATCGAAATTTTTAGTAAACGTTAAAAAATGCAAAAATTTGGTAGAAAAACCTATATTTTTTGGATTTTTTTAGATCCATTCAGAAGGTTAGGGAGTAAGGTAGAAAAACAACAAATAAAATAAATAAATTGCGTATTGTCGTATTATTATTATTAGTCTTCTTGTCGTTTAGATAAAATATACGATGAAAACTGGGGTCCCATGGCCATCGCCATCAACTCGGTCAAATCCTCAAAAGTTCCGGGGGGCCCCACCCACGGCTCCTCCTATTCCGAAGCCATATATGGGCTAAACTACAAAAAAATTTAAAAATAAGTGGAATACCGATTTCGATTTTAACCAAAAAATGTACCCATAAAAAGACCCATACCTTGATGTGGGCTATCACATTACCCGAAACCGGAATATCCGATCCGGATGGCAAAACCCCTGAAAAACAGAGAACAAATATCGTGTGTGGCGGACAGCTTGCTTTTTGTGGGTCTCGATTTGTTAGAGGGGGAATGGATGGCCCAGTGAGAGTGACGGGGGGACATTGGAACAGCGAGAGAGAGAGAGAGAGAGAGAGAGAGAGAGGGAGCAAGAGCACATTATGCTGCTGTCTCGTGTCCCTCGGGCATTTTTTAGGGCCCACCCCGAGGGGCCAAGCGGCCCAAAGCTCATGAGCGGAATTTAGAACGGAATTATGTCAATTTTTGAGTGTTGAAATTGTTTGAAGCTTTTAAGACATCAACGTGTCAATTTTTAAGTTTACAGTGCCGTATGAGTAAGCAAAAAAACATTAGACTGATTTAAAGGCGCTCTTAGGCTTAGGCTCGCTTAGGCTTGGCAGGCTTAAGCTTGGGCTTGGCTTAGGCTTAGGCTTGGCTTAGGCTTGGCTTAGGCTTGGCTTAGGCTTGGCTTAGGCTTGGCTTAGGCTTGGCTTAGGCTTGGCTTAGGCTTGGCTTAGGCTTAGGCTTAAGTTTGGCTTAGGCTTAGGCTTAGGCTTGGCTTAGCTTTGTCAAAATCAATTCAACCCCCAAAAGTCAAATGGTCAAATTTTTCGAGGGTTTTGCCGCCCCGATTTGAAAGCTGCCCTTATTTGTGCAATGTGTAGATAAGGGCCCACCTCGAAAAGACGCTAAAAAAGCCCGAAACCCTCGAAGAGAACTTTGCCCAGCCATTGGCCCGCCCGGGCAAAAGCTCGCATTAGGCGGTCAACCGATAACGCGTTCACTTTCTGGGGGGTTTATCCCCCTGGGGAATTCCTTGAAGGTCGAAAAATTGCCTTGAAAAACCACAAAACAACTGGAAAAATCGGCAAAAATGGGAGCAATTTAGCACACCCTAATTCGCGAATTGCTAAATAACAACAAAAATTTTCTGGGAGCCGAAAAGCCCTAAAAAACCGGCATACCCCAAAAACAAGGCCCAAAAAAGGGTTGAACTAACAATAGTGGTGTGCCTTCTTGCATTTGGGGCATTGAGCTGCCTTTCCACGGCTTCGACGACCTCTGCAAATAATTGATGAAGCCCGAGGGGGGGGAGAGGGAGGGCAGGGGACGGGGGCTAGAATCGACGCTAGGCGCGTTCTTAATCGAATTCATCTAATCACCTAGTTTGCATCCATTAAGAATCGGAAAAACGTTAAAATCCTGGCAGTCCAAACACCGACAGCCCAATACCGACAAATGTGGTCGGAAAATCCATAATGCCAACTGCCAAATTCCAAGCAGGCCAAAATACCGACAGATAGAATCCCGACAATGCAAAAAAGAAAGTTCAGTTTAAGCGAGAGAGAGCGCGAAAGATAGAGAGAGCGAGAGAGAGACTGAGATGGAGAGTGAGGTAAAGGTACACTAAAATCTCGTTCAAAAATTTTCGCAGGGGCCGGGAATTCGGTTTCTCTGCCGCCGCGTGCCCCAACCCTTCATAGCCTCTCTCCCCGTCCCCTCTCCCGTCTGTCCCATGGCCTAGTGGTCCAAAGCGCTTACCCCAGGCGAGTGGCGCGGGTTCGGTTTTGCTCCGCGGCGAGCGCCTACCGTAACCCTGTTTGCTATCCCGCGGACGGTTACCGGCCGGTAACCAAACCAACGAGACTTTAGTGTACCTTTAAGCCCCGGATATATCGGGATCTCGGACAAGGTAATTTTTCCTGTCGGTATTATGGCTGCCGGGATCTTGACTGTTACGATTTTTGGAAAAACGCCAAAATTCTAATCCCACCCCGATACTCACCACAAATGGCTAACGTCGACGAACTGCGCCGCTCTAGTCTCCGATAGCGGACCGGGGTCAGACTACGGGGGTGCATTTTAGAGAAGAAGCGACGGAATAGAAGGGAATAGACGGAGATCCCGGTCGAATATGGTCACCAAATAGAATGTAAGGGGGCGAAAGGCTGGGGAAGGGGACCAATCCGTCAAACGGCTCGTGGATGGTGTTGTGGCTGGGGATATGGATGGAATGGGATGGCAGCCAGATATTCCCCCAATGGATACAAGACAAAATATACGCCCACATTCTCGCTAGGGGGCATACAGCTAGCATAGACCATTTGGGAGGCTTTTAAAGGGACGGGCAAGGCATCGAAGGGTTGGATTTTTATGGATTTCCCTTGAATTTACGGCAGAAACAATCAATTTTGAGGCTAAACTTGCTGTCACAGTCCCTTTAAAACGCCCTAAAGTCAATTTTTCCTGAAAAAGTCGGAAACAAAAGGGGAATGCAATAATCATCAACGGAGCCGCAGCTGGGAGGGGGGCTGGGCCCCCGGCCCCGAGGGGATGAGGATGATGTGAAGCCCGGCTTTCTGGAGGCCTAATGAGAAAGGATAAAAAAGGAGAGAGCGGGAGAAAGAGAGAGAGGGGGAGAGAGAGAGAGAGAGAGAGAGAGAGAGAGAGAGAGAGAGAGTAACCGGAGAGAGGGATGAAGAGCCTTTGCCCCCACCCCCCTTTCCTATCCAGTCATCCATCCGGTGGCCGCTGCTGAATGCCCAGCATTGGCAAATAAACTGCTCGAAAAGGCGGTCGGGTCAAGCCACATCGATATGGCCAGTCGATAAAGCGGAGTTGCTCGATAGGCTTGGCTTAGGCTTAGGCACAAGTCCAGGCTTCATCTGGGCGGTTTTGGCCATAACACCCAAATTCCATTTATTCCACGGCAGATCATAATCGTCAGGTAGTAAAGCTTTGATTTGGAGATGAATAAAGAACACAAGCGGCGAGTCGAGGCGAAGGGGGAACAATACGGAAAAGGGATCAAAATACAGTAGGCGGAAGGGGGGAACGGGGCTTAATGTTCGGAGGGCGCTTCCGGGTGTTGTTCAGCGGCCGATGAACTCGGGCTGCTGGCCGGCCGACGTCTGGTAGTTCTTCGCGTTGCAGCTGCGCTCCTGGGGAAATGACGTTAAAGACCAGAAGGCTCTTCAACCTCCGCTAAAAATCTACCCCCCCCTCCCCCGATAAAAGCCCAGTCCCAAAATTTCAATCCCCAAAAAGGAATTCTTACCGGAGGGATTGCCTCGGCCATGTACTTCTCCTGGGTGGCGAGCACGCGCATCAAGCCGTGGGTGGTCAGCCACCTGAAGCAAGGGGAGGTGTTCCACTACCCTTAACGATCCTACCAAGGGTTGCGGACGTTGGTGTGGACAAAGCAGGCCAACGTCTCCAGCATGCCGACGTCAGCGTACGCCTGGTCGCCGAAACGGACGCCTAAAAATATGTATTAATTTATTACAAAAATCCCACCGAGCAGCTCGATGTCGGCGGTGTTGCGGCGGGAATGGGAGAACATCCGCTCGAACGCCTTGGCCCCGAAGCGGGACGCTGCAATGGACGGGATGCTACAGTGGACACACATAGCGCGTTTCCATACCCGAGTTGCGGTCAAAGGCGCTCGGCTTGCCGCCCTGCACCGAGTGGCCCAAGTAGTTCAGCCGTGTCGAGAACTTGAATTGATGGCATTAGCATTGGCTTTCTGTCTCTGTCTCTCTCTCTCTCTCTCTCTCTCTCTCTCTCTCTCGTCTCTTTCTCTCTCTCTGTCCCTTTCTACCTAACTCTCACGCTCTCTCTCCCTCTTTTTCCCCTCTCTCCTCACCTTTCCCTTGCCGGCCTGCTCGAACACCTGCTTCACCTGCTCGGAGCTGAACTCGGCGCGCGCGCCATTTGTGCGCAACAAAACGTAGTGCGTACAGCCGCGCTCCAGCTTGCGCCGAGCCTCCTAAAAGCGGAAAAATCGGCTCAAAGCCGGAAAAATTTCATCCCACATCAACGTCAGCCGCCAGGTCCTCTTGGCGCATCTTCTCCTCGTAGATGTGGGCATTGTCGGCCCCGGTGGCGATGGCTCCGATGGTGGCCAGATAGCCCGAGTTCTCGCCCTGCACCTCGACGATGAACGCGCTAGAGGGGGCGTTTTCAGACCGGAATTGCCATGCAAACTACCGTTTCTTGGTGCCGCGGGCGCTCTGCTTGATGTTGTCAATGTTGCGGCAAATCTCGTTGAGGGCCGTGTCCGAGCCGAGGCTTTCCACCACGCCCGGCACGTTGTTTCTGGAAGGTCAAGGAAATGGTGGACTTTAAAATTTTCGAAAACAGCGGAAATATCGGCTGAACTCCAGATACCCCCCCCAGCCAGCACCCAACTTTCGTATCTCGGCTCCCTGTTCATCTACAGGTGTGTAAAGTATACCAAAATACTCGCCAGAGGAAGACGAACATTTTGGTATACTTTGCACACCTGTAGATGAACAGGGAGCCGAGATACAAAGGTGGGGGCCGGCTGGGGGGGAGGTACTCTAACTGCAGGATTTAACGTATGATTTAATTTTATGTTTGTTTTGATTTTTAATTTTTTTTGCTATTTTATTTTAAAAATTAATTATAACAAAAACCCCTACGAGATGGTAGCCGGGACGACGACGATCGGAATGCGGAAAGAGTCGTACTCGTCGCGCCAGTCGCGGATCATCAGCGCCGATTGGAAGGCCTGAAAGTACGCCCGGCATCTTCAAGGCGTTCAAGATACGACACCTCAAATCCACCAATGATGGCGATGCCGCGGATGTTGTGGAGGAGCACGTGGGCGGCGAGGCGGTCCGGGTCGGAGACGAGCTGCCGAGACGTGCCCAACGCCGACCCACCCTCCGACACCCAGCCGATCACGTCGCCCCATTCAAGGGTCTGAATCGTTGAAAGTTTGCGGTTTAAAGGGGCCAAGAAGTTAGAAGGGGTCAGCTGTACCTTGATGTTGCCCTCGGCGAATCCGGGGAAACCGCCGCTGACGCCCATCACGCGGCAATTGTTGTAGCGGGCGACGCGGACGAGGGCATGGGTGGCCGCATTCATTCCTGGACGACGATTTTAGGTACTGTGCTGTTAAGAGGGGGGGGCTAATTTTTCTGGACCCTTTTAAAAAACCACGCAAATTAAACCAATTTCACATTTCAAAATTTTGGAAGTTTTGGTCAAAAAGTCTGTGAAAAAACCCCAAAAAAAAATTTAAATTTTTAAAAAATAAAAAAAATTAATTTTTAAATATAAAAAAAAAAAAAAAAAAAAAAAAAAAAAAAAAAAAAATTATAAATAAGTGGGGGGGGGGGGGGGTGAAGGACCCGCCCCCCCACAAACAGTCCAGTACCCGGTCTTTTAGCTACGAGACGCTCCACTGTACGCCTTGCGCAACACATGTCAAAATTCCGATACGAGCCCTACCAGCGGTGGGGCTGCCACAGTGGACGACGAGAAACGTATGGTCGGGGACGTCGAGGATCTCGCGAGGGGGGAACGACACCTGATCGAGGAAGCGACCCTTCTGGCTGTAGTGAGAACCGCGAAGCTGTACGCAACGCTCGTAGTCGCGGGTCCTAAAAAGTTGAAGTGCTTCCCGGTGACAGGGACCCCACCTATACGCCTTCTCGGCTTCGAGCGTCTTCTCCACGGCACGCCCCAGGTGGCCACGTTCGATGAGCGAAGCGCGCAACGCGACGAAGACGCCCTTCTGATCCTCGCGACGCTGTAGGTTGGGTTCAAAGATTCAGTTCTGGCGTTTCTTTGATACCTGAGCACACGCGAGCAGCGCCTCAGCACCCATCCTCGCTCCAAGGCAACGATCGAACGCCGTCGGGACGCCGCCGTACTGGAGATGACCAAGGCTGGTCACCTGGCAGTGGTACTAAAATTGGGTGGGGGTTATTGACAAGGCATCCGATACCTTGAGGGTGGTCTCGATGAGGCGACTGATGACTGACGGGCTGATCGGGGACCCATCATTGTCCATAGCCCCCTCGGCAACGATGATAATGTTCAGGTGGCGGCCCAGCTGGAAAGGGGGTTAGAGTGCAGTTTACCTCCCCCCCCAGCCAGCCGCCAACTTTTGTATCTCGGTTCCCTGTTCATCTACAGGTGTCTAAAGTATACCAAAATGTTTGTCTTGCTCTGGCGAGTATTTTGGTATACTTTACACACCTGTAGATGAACAGGGAGCCGAGATATTTAAGCCCGAAGGGGTCGCTTAACCCTGAAAAAACCCCTGGAGACGTACCAGTGCCATGCGTTGCAGCTTGTCGGTGAGCGCGTCGCGCCATTCCGTCACGGGCGGCCACTCGGGCACAAACACAAAGTCGGCCTCCACCGCCAACCCGGCCGTCATCGCCAAGAAGCCGCAGTGCTTGCCGAGTACCTAGAAATTGGGCTACCAGTGACTGCTGCAGCCACGCACCTCAACGATGAAGACCCGCTGCGACGAGTTGAGCGACGCCTCGACGTGGTCCACCGAGTCGATGACGCGTGTCAATGCCGAGTCGGCCCCGAGCGTCATCTCCGTGCCCCAGATGTCGTTGGTGACGGCGCTGAACAGGAATTGGTGGTGCGAAAACGGAAGCGCTGGCTTACCACGGAATTCCACAAACCCCCAGGTCCTGCAGCGGCCTGCCCATGTTGTCGGGCACCAGGCCCTTGCTCACCAGCTCTTGCACAAGGGAGCGCCATTCTTGCTGAAGTATTCAGCCGATTGGTGGCGCTACGTTAGGCTACACACCTTGAACGTCTGCAGCGCCTCCATCGACCCGCCGCCGCCGATGACGATCAGATTGTTGATGCCGTGGAGGACCAGGGTTTTTGCGCCCTGAATAAGTAAATCTTTTGTTGAGTCTCAATCCCTTTTTCTCTCTCTCTCTCTCTCACCCTCTCTCTCACCTTGAGCCTTCCCTCGCGCGTCTTGAACTCCTCGCAGGGCGCGACACCGAGCACCGAGCCGCCCTTCTGGATCAAACTCGTCGCGCTCTCCCAGGTGGCTTCCTGGAACGCGGAATTTAGCCATCCTAGAAGGCACAACAGACCTGCACGCGATTGTCGACAAGCCCGCGGAACCCGTCGTACACGTAGAAGACGCGGCAGTTGACGAACAACCCGGTGCGGACGACGGCCCGGATGGCAGAGTTCATTCCTGGAAAAAAGATGAAATAGGGCAGGGACGCACTTTTAAAGGGTTTGCAAGGCAAGGCGCGCATACTTTAGTTCGCTAAAATCCACAGCTATGCTTTTTTCAAGGGATTGGCAAGGGAAAATTCGTACCTGGAATCGGGCCACTGCCCGTCAGCACGGCGACCAGCTTCTTGTCCTGCATCGTGCCGGATGGGTGGGTGGGAGCAGGAGTTGAATGCTTGTTTTTACTGCGAATTTTTTGCCCCAGAACATCCATGCAATTTGTCGATGCAAATACCTCGTATGCGAATTTTTAGGCTACTTCCGATCGTCGCCAAAATATTGTTGTTCAACGGTTTTTCTTGATTTTTCGAGGGGTTTCGTTGTGGTCGCTTTGATTTGCATCGATTTTTGGATTGAAGTCGCTCGGTTTTCTTGACATCGAACATTTTTCTAAAAATTAGAATCTTCAAAAATTATCTGAAATACACTGTTTCACAAATTCCACGAAAAAACCCGGAGAAAACGTTTATTTTTGAACATCTTAAAAATTACGGTAGCCAGTCGGCTGAAGTTTTCTTTACTATCACTGTTTTTTACTATTTTTGAACGCAAAAACTTTTAAAAATTTAGTAAAAACTACAAAAAAATAGATGCTGTACCATAAATTCGATTTTTTAAAAAAGCTGAGAAGTGTGCTTTTAAGAGCCAGAGAAACAGGGGGCGTAACTTTTTAATTGGACCTGAAAAAAATTAAGTATTTCCGATAACTTTTCTAGGTATTTATCGGTACCCCGGGATTCCTCTAATTTCCGGTGATCGCTCCGCAAGGCTATATTCTCGAACCCAGATTCCAGATTGGCGTAACGAAAGCGATAAGCGCCCCAAGATGAGTCAACCTCTAGAGAAAAATATTCCTCTTTTACCTCCAAGTGGGACGCATGCAAAAGTTTGCTCTATTAAATGGCTCGAGATCGTTATCCGGCCGGTCTCAGTTTGTGGGTGGGGGCACGAAAAAGTTAGCAGAACAAACACTGCCGCTCAAGGTGCGTAACTTTTGCGGTGCGAGGAACACGGCGAAGCTCTGAAGTGGCTCTGGGGTTAGATGAAGCCAAGAAACAGCCACAAAAATTGATGACAAAAGCCGCTTATATACGCTTTCAAGGTGCGATATGAAAAATCGTTTACTAAGTCATTTTTCATCAAATTTTTCGGTCCTAGCCAGACCCTATTTTTCAACTTTATCTTTCGGAATTCTCTACTGATTCCGGTCATTAGCTGTCCAGGTTTTCTTCACACATACATCTTCTTATCTTGTCTGTGGTCTCATCATGGCCCCTTTTTTTCCATTTTATCAGATACCCCGGTTAGCATGAGTTTCGACAGCATCTGTCTAACTCTTATTAATTGGATTCGTGGGGTGTACGTATAAACACGTTGGTGGGGGTAAAAGTGGCGGAAAAATGTAGTGAGAGAGAAAGCGAGAGAGCGAGAGAGGAGAGAGAGAAAGGTAGAAAGGGCGCGAGCGAGAGAGCGTGAGAGGTGAGAGCTTGAGAGAGGGCGAGAGAGAGGAGACAGATAAGAGAGAGACAGAGAGAGCGAGACAGAGAGAGAGCGACTAATTTGAAGGGACCGAGACAGGTCGGATGTCTAGACTTTTCGTGAAATGCCGGCCGAAGCCCCAGAGAGAGAGAGAGAGAGAGAGAGAGAGAGAAACGCGTGCGAGAGAGCGTGAGAGAGGGAGAATGAGCGAGAAGGAGTGTGAGCGTGAGAGAGATAGCAGCGAAAGAGCGTTGTAGAGAGAGGGAGGGAGCAAGAGAGTGAGGGTGAGAGAGAGGGAGAGAGCGCGCGCGACCGATTTGAAGGGACCATGACAAGTCGTATGTCTAAATTTTTCGTGAAATGCCGACAGTGCAGTCTAACCCGGTTCTTACAGTCGGTATTTTAAGTAGCTTGTTTTATTTTTGTAGTTTTTAGTAAGTAGTTTGTTGGCATTCGGGCTGAAAATCCGTTTGTCCCCAAAATCCTTGGTCAACCTTTTCGCAGTTTCCGTTCCAAAAACCCGGGATAATTTTCCGTGTGCATTCGTTTGGCCCACGTATAAGTGCGTTGTCAGCTTTCCTCTGGATTTTTATAGCTTATCAGTTGCTGTTGGGCGCCTCAAGAGACCCCGGCTTAATGACATTAAAATTTTGGTACTGGACTGTTACCGGGGGGTAAAAGTAGAGGGAAGAAAATTTTGATTTACACTTATTCTTAGCGGTTGATCATATATAATGTATCTTATCGAGTTTTTAGTAATTTTTGATTTCTAGAAAGTTACAAAAAAATTTGAAATTGTGAAAATTTTCCTTCATTTTACTTCTGTTACTTCATTTTACTTATTTTTTATGTATTTTCGACAAAAACTCAAAAAAACTTCTTCGAAAGTGTAACATTTTTCTGGATGTTTTTCTGAATTCCAATCGGTTCCCCGACGCTCAGTTCCCCGACACTCAGTTCCCCGACCATCGGTTCCCCGACAATTAGGGAATGAACCACCATTATAATTACGTTAAAATAGCACCTTATAATTGTCGGGGAACTGATTGTCGGGGAACTGATTGTCGGGGAACCGATTGTCGGGGAACCGATTGTCGGGGAACCGATTGTCGGGGAACCGATTGTCGGGGAACCGAGTGTCGTGGAACCGAGTGTCGTGGAACTGAGTGTCGGGGAACTGAGTGTCGGGGAACTGAACTGATACCGTTTTTCTATTCCAGAAACTGGGTTAAAAAATTAGTTTCCCCGTGTTAAAAAATATCACCCCTTGCTAATAGTCCAGTACCAAAATTTCCATAATTGCCCAATGACAAAACCATTCCTGCAACCCAAAAATGCGTAAATATTACCAAAAAATCCCCGCATTATTTGTCAGGTGTGCGTAACGACGCGTACCTATTAAGTTGCCTGTAAATACGGTATTTAAAACATTGCTCATGCTGCAAAGACAATTCGCGGGCAAACAACGGAACATGGGGAGGATGGTATTTGAACACGGAGAGAGTGGGAGAGGGAGAGAGACGAAGAGAGGGAGAGACGTCGATGAGTCAACCAGCCGTTTTCTAGTGCAACGAAAAGCCGGGTGGACGAGGGTCAGGACCCGAAAAAGAGCTCGAAAGGGAGATCGAGAATCGAGGAGAGCATGAAAAGTTCCATTATACTCCACAAGAAATACATTGCGTGCGCATTCACCTATTATTTTAGCGATTTCCATTTTTATACCATATACTCGATCAAATTTGCCGAATTTTTGACCCTAAGCAGAGAACCAGCTGTCGCTGTCCCTTTACAGATTCCGGATCAAAATTTTGGCTTTTAGAAATCAAATTTTACTTATTACATATTTAACTTATTACAATAGTTATTACACAAAAAGTCTTAGAATTGGTTTACCGGACTACTCGGCAATTTTTGGCTTAACTAACTTAGTAAGTGCGGTTTACCCACCCCCAGCCGACTTCCCCCTATCGTATCTCGGCTCCCTGTTCATCTACAGATGTGTAAAGTAGACCAAAATACTCGCCAGATCAAGACGAACATTTTGGTATATTTTACACACCTGTAGATGAACAGGGAGCCGAGATACACAAGTTGGGTGCCGGCTGAGGCTACCAATTCGTCATCAGTCGCTTTCGATTCGTCATTTGGCAAAGTCGCTCAAACTCAAAAAAGCTAGCGTATAGCGTGATAGCGTGGCCATGTAACGAAAGATACCCTATCGTAACCTTGGCTAGTGGCAATGCGCCCTGGTACGAGCCGATACGCATCAGCCACGAAAGGGCCATTGGCCAAACCTTAGCAAATTTATCTGGCCAGCTAATGAAGCGGGCGATAAGCATAGCGTGGTCGGCCTGACGAAAGAAACTGTCTATAAAAAAGGCCTCAGCTCCTCCTAAACGGCATTTTCGACTTTGACTTTCCAGCCTTATTATAATACATAATTTGTAGCACAGCTTGTATTTTTAACACATTTTCCAGAATCTACAACCCCCTTTCTTCGAGCAAAAATGGACTGTGATCCGCCAGAGTGGGCCCAACGGGTACGTGCATTATTCTTGAAAAATTGGGTGCTAATGCACTTGGGGGTGGCAGTCCGGATTTTGACTCACAAGACGCTCCAAATGCCGCTTTTCAAACTCGAAGCCCCTGGAAAAGCTAAGCCAAGCCTAAGCCTAGGCTTAACTTCATACAAACGAAGATAAGCTTAGCTCGAAGCTAACCCCTAAATGACCCCATTTTGACAGGTAAGGCAATTTGAAGCTCAAGTTAAGCTTCGCTTGGGCTTAAGCGTACGCCTAAGCCTCAGCTAAGCATGGTTCAAGCTAACTTAAGCCTTTACCTGAAATCCAAGCAGCTTAAGCGGAGCACCTCGTAGCCCCTTATTGCCAATTTCGGACTGCCCTCCCCCAAGCTGCATTAGCGCCAAAAATTTTATAAATTTTATAAGTAAAAATAATAGAATCTATCTCGACTCTATATAAAAAGGAAGGACTAAAAAGGACTCTATATTTGATAGAATATAACAATATAATAAGCGTTTCATATCACATAAAAAGTTCGAAAACCTAAACTAAACGCCTGACACAGGCGCAGGTAACCCCCCCCCCGCACCAGTAAACGCTTAAAATCCTTTTTAGAAGAAACCTCTCATAATCATTATCGCGAATTTCAGGCGTATGAAGAAGCGGCACGTAGAGAGGAGGAAGAGCGCAGACGCCGAGAAGAAGAAGAACAACGACGTCGCGACGATGCCGCCCGAGGCGGATAACGTCTTTTAAAGGAGCCTGTCAGCCAGTCGACTCGAAGAGACGCGAAATACATCTCGTGTACCACCACCCCTCCCCTCCAATATTCCTTGTACATTCCGCTCGTCTATCTCTTCCACTGTCTGGCATTACTTCTTGAATGGTCATATCATTCTCTAAAAACCTGCTTGATGCTCAAAAAAACGATGACCTCATTGCACTTTTACTCGCCT